CGTCGAGTCTCCATTCAACTTCAAAGAAAATTTGAGGACATCAGTCTTTCCCTGCTCTTGAGCCCATCGTTAGAGTTTCTTGTTTCTTTCTTCTTTCTTTTCTTTTTTTGGTTTCTTGAGACAGGGTTTCTCTGTGGCTTTGGTTCCTGTCCTGGAACTTGCTCTGTAGACCAGGCTGGCCTCGAACTCAGAGATCCGCCCGCCTCTGCCTCCCGAGTGCTGGGATTAAAGGTGTGTGCCACCACCGCCCAGCCAGAGTTTCTTTCAGACCACGGGAGACCCTGTGAGGCTAGCACCTGAGTTTAACCGTCGGCAAGGGGAGACATCTGATAGTGAAGCCCCACCCCAACCTGAGAGAATCACCCACTGTCATCACTTAACGACAAATCCTAGCATACAACCAGACTGGGAATGGGGCCAGGAGTCGGGTGGAACATAACCTGGCCGGGGGCCTCCTGGAGGACCTTAGGGCCAAGAAACATCTCTAACCTGAACTAGGCCATTAGAGCTGGCTCACCTGAGACAGCAAGGGGCTGCTCTCCTCCTCTTCCATCCTCCACGAAGACAGGTGGCCCGGGGCCTCTCTGGACGGGTTGTAGTCCCGGTGTAATGGTATCCTTGACTGTTCTGTAAACTGTCCACCTCGGAGCTGGAGAGCTGCAGACTCCGCCCACCCAGCCATCACAGTGAGATCATGTGAGGAGTCACATTTTAGGGCTTAAGGCAGGGCCTCTGCTTCTGTAGAGCAGTTGGTTTTTCTTCTTAGACCCTAACTCTTGGCTTTGGCTCTAGGATGCCCAACTGTGACTTTGATAAGGTGGCTCTGGTGCTGGCCTCGTGGCCGTCACTGGTGAGTCCCATCTGTCCTCAGCCCGGTTGGCTCACAGGCTGCTCTATCAGCGACCGCAAGGGAACAGATCTCTGCCAATCGGCTCATAGTGCAGTCTCCCAGGAACCCACTGGACAACGCAAATGCCAGTTTATCCCCCTAGTTTATCCAGTGCAGAAACAAACCAGTATTCATGTTCCAGATGGCCCCCTCCGAGCTTCTCAAAAGCAGGGTTTTGTTATGGTCACCACACAGTCCCTGTGTAAGGACTTGAGATACACAGCAGGTTATGGAGACAGAAAGCATGTTCAATGGCTGTCAACACTGGACCCTACCAGACACCATCTGTGTGGCCCTGTGTCCCTCCACAGGTCTCCCTGCTTCCGATTGGGATCCAGATGAAAGGTGAGTGTGTCTGTTAGCGTCGCTGTAGATACCATCCATATGTTTAGGGCAAGAGAAAGATCCTGCTGGACCTGCCAGAAGCCCTGTGCTGTTTCCACTCCAGACCCCCTAGGGTTCAGCCTCTACTTTTAGCTTTATATTCCATTGTTCTGGCTTCTGATTTTATAATCCAGACCAATTTGCTGGTTTCCAATGGCCAACACCTGTGTGTCCTGGCCTTTGCCACCCCCCACCGCACCATCCCCGTTGCCTGGAGCCCCCAAGGTCTTCCATCTTCAACAACCCTTCTTTTTCTTTTCTTCTTCCCAGCCCATGCTGAGGATGGAATCCAGGACCTCACAGAGCTCTATCCTTACCCGTCTCTGGCAGTTCAGACTGCCTCTTCCATCCAGTCTCCCGCCACGGCTCAGGGCACAGCCGCCTGCCACTGTATAAATCCACTCAAACAAAATGTTCTCGGTTGGGCTAGGTTTGTAGCTCAGTGGGAGAGCATTAGCCTACTACTCTTGCTTGAAGCTCTGGATCCTGATTCTGTTCCCCACATTGAAGAAAAAGGAGGAAGAGGAAGAAGGGGAAGAATACCAGAGACAGAGTTCTGACACGTGCCACAACATGAGTGCACCTTGAAAACATGCAAAGCGATACCAGCCAGATATAGAAGTCACATTTCCTTGTTGTTGTTTTTCAAGAAAGGGTTTCTCTGTGTAGCCCTGACTGTCCTGGAACTTGCTCTATAGACCAAGCTGGGCTTGAACTCAGAGATCCGTCTGCCTCTGCCTCCGCCTCCTGAGTGCTGGGATTAAAGGGGTGCTCCACCCTTTAAACATCATGCCTTATTCAATTCTTCCTGCGTGTGACATTCAGGCAGGGCATTTAGTTTTTATTTATTTATTTTTATTTTTTATTTATTTATTATGTATACAATATTCTGTCTGTATGCCTAAAGGCCAGAAGAGGGCGCCAGACCTCTTTACAGATGGTTGTGAGCCACCGTGTGGTTGCTGGGAATTGAACTCAGGACCTTTGGAAGAGCAGGCAATGCTCTTAACCACTGAGCCATTTCTCCAGCCCCAGGCAGGGCATTTAGTATACACCTGAGGCACCCCTATATGGACAAGGACATGAAGCAGGGTGGAGGCTGTACCAAGTTCCTGATGGAATTGGCAGCCAATGAAAAAGCAGCTCAGGCATTGTTGTTAAAGGGTTTTGAAGATCTTCTCGATGAGGACTATGCCCACCAAAGAGGAAGTTAGAAAGGAACTCACAGCAAGAACCTGGAGGAAGGAATGGAGACAAAGGCTACAGAGAAATACTGTTCACTGGCCTATTTTCTGGCCCAATCTCAGACGGCTTTGATAAAGAGCCTGGGCCTACCTGGCCTAGGGACCACACTGGCCTTGAACTCAGAGCACCACCCTTCTCTGCTTCCAAAGGACTGGGGTTATAAGTGAGTGCCATCATGCCCAGTCCCATCTTAAAAAATAAATTGTGTGCGTGTGTGCATATTGCTATAATGTGTGTGTGAAGTTCAGAGGACAACTTCCAAGAATTTGTTTTTCTTTCTGCGTTGTGAGTTCAAGGGATTAAACTCAAGTTCTCAGGCTTGACCTAGTTGGGGTAGGTGTGGCTTTGTTGGGGTAGGTGTGGCCTTTGCTGGGGTAGGTGTGGCCTTGGGGTGGGTGTGGTCTTGTTGGGTGGGTGTGGCCTTGTTAGAGGAAGAGTGTCACAGGTGGGGATGCTTTGAGGTCTCAGTTGCTCAAACTAGGCTAGTGGCTCACAGTATCTTCCTTTGGCTCTGTATACGGAACTCCCAGCCACCTCTCCAGCACCATGCATGCCTGTATGCCACCATGCTTCCCGCCATGCTGACCATGGACTAACTCTGAACTGTAAGCCAGACCCAATTAAATGCTTTCCTTTATAAGCTTTGCCATCCATGGTCATGGTGTCTCTTCACAGCGATAGAAACCCTTTGTATCGGTCCAGTCCTTTCTTTGGTTGTCTGTTCATCATTAACAGTCACCTGATATTCCATATCCACAATTGATCTGCCTATGGGGTAGCTGCACCAAGCAAGCCTATGTCCTTTTCCCCATGCTCCCAGAGTAAGAGCCACGTCAAACACGAAGTTAGCATGCAGTGAAATTTGTTGATGGAATGAATACTACAAAATTTAAATGACAGAGGTTAAAGAACAGGTGTAGCCAGCACTAACATTGGCAATGATGACGGATTCAATGAATTTAACAGGAAGGGAACCAGGTATGGTGGCGCACACTTATAATCCCAGGATTTAGGAAGCACGGGTAGGCAGATTTCAAACTTGAAACCAGCTGGGCTACGTGAGACCGTGAGTAGCAATGGACTTTGGCTGTGGACTCCTTGGTAGACCGCTTTCCTACCGCCTGAGAAACTCCTGGTTGTAACCCAGTATCTATAAATCTGGGTGTGGTGGAGGTGTGTGGAGGAGGAATGGGAGGAAAAAAAACCTCAAGGTCAGGGCTGGAGAGGTGGCTCGATAATTGAGAACTTTTGGCGCTGTTCCAGAGAACCCGGGTTTGTCTCCCAGCACCCACATGGTGGGTCTCAACCATCTGAAACTCCAGTTCCAAGGGTTCCACTCCCTCTTCTGCCTTTCTCTGGCCCCAGGTACGAATGTGGTTAACATACATATATGCAGGCAAGGCACTCATACACATAAGACACATAGTCTTTTTTTTGTTTTGTTTTGTTTTTTGTTTTTCGAGACAGGGTTTCTCTGTGGTTTTTGGAGCCTGTCCTGGAACTAAAAAAAAAAAAAAACCCAAAAAAAAAATAAAACATTCTAAAATATAAAAAGAGGTTACATGAACATGCATTCAGAAACTGATCCATTAATTTGAAATAAATGGCAGGAGTGAGTGCATGCTTTTAGATCCCAGTATGGAGAGGGAGGCACGTCACTGTGAGCTCCAAGCCAGCATGATTTGCATAGTGAGTTCCGGTTGCTGCAGTGAGATTGTTTAAAAACAAAACAAAACAAATCAAAAACTAAGCAGGGCTTGGTGGCGTAGGCCTTTAATTCCAGCACTAGGCAGGCAAGGCAAGTTCCAGGACAGCCAGGGCTACACAGAGAAACCCTGTCTCGAAAAACCAAAACAGTCAAAGAAACAAACAAAAACACAAAAGTCAAAACCAAAAACAAACAAGAAAACAGGTGGCTTTTAGCCTCTTAAAAAGATTTCCATAGGAGCTGGAGAGATGGCTCAGTGGTTAAGAGCACTGCCTGCTCTTCCAAAGGTCCTGAGTTCAATTCCCAGCAACCACATGGTGGCTCACAACCATCTGTAATGAGATCTGATGCCCTCTTCTGGCCTGCAGGCATACACACAGAATATTGTATACATAATAAATAAATAAATAAATATATAAAAAAGATTTCCATAATGTCTCCTTCAAACCATATGCATGAGGTTACAAAAGAAGAAGCTCAGCTCATTGCTGGAAAATTGTGAAGACGGCACAGAACTCCCTCAACGGCTATTTTTCAAGGCGCTCTCTTCTTGGGGCTTTTCTGCATTGTTCTGCAAAGTTCAGGAACAAGTAAGTCTCTCTTTTACAGGATTCTTCCGAACCCTGAGTCTGCAGAGGAGTCTAGAAGGCCCGGCCCAGAGGAGCCGGGGATGGGCGGGGCCGAGGTGAGCGCGGCTCCCCACGCGCATGCGCGCGGCCGTTGGCGAGGCCGGAACCTTGCTTCGCCTCCGTGTTCGCCCGGCGGAGTGCGTTGAGTGAAGCACAGTACGTCGGTGGCTGGCGGAGCCGGGAGGTGAAGCTGGAGAGGCGGTGGCGGCGGCGGCGGGAGGCCGGGACTGGGGCTGAGGCCGAGGCGGGGACTGCGAGGCCTTTGGGGAGGCAGGCGGCGGCAACCCGGGGCCTGAATCCGGAGACAGGAGCGGCCGCCATGGCCGAGAGCATCGTGAGTGCGGCGGCCGGGAGGGAGCGGGGCGCCGGGATGAGGCAGCAGATTTGCCGGCCTCCTGGGCGGGCCCGTGCGGGACGGAGCTCGGCGCCAGCGGCTTCGCCTTACTAGCCCAGGGTTTGTGGCGGTTCCTGCTGCAGCTGAGCCCGGAGAGCTTGGAGGGTAAGAGGCCGAGCGGTCCGTGCGGAGCGGCCTCCCTTCTCTCTGTTGCCGCAGGTTGCTCCGAAGCACCCCAGCCTCCCAGGCCCAGAAGCCGGTTACGTCTTTACCTCCTGTCCTTAGGGCTTTCTCCTCCCCCATCCCAGCACTGCCTCGTCATGATTTCACTACGGAAGAGTAGTCGGGAGAAGGGCATCAGTAGAGAACCCCTTCCCCACAAAAGAAGTGGCCAAGGGGGCAGACAGCAACCTGGCGGGGCTGGCTTCTCTTTGGCAGAGACAACTTGACTACCTGTTTAAAAGATTGTAATAAAGAAGGCTGATTTCACTTTAGCCTGACTGTAGGGATTGTGACCCCCACCCTCCATCAAATGTGTCAGGAAAACGGGAGATAAATCAGCGAATAGCCGTTAGTTAACTTTTGGGAATGGTGTGAGAAACAGGCCGATCTGACGAAGAGTTGTGGTCAGCGTTGAGGGTTATTGGGAATTTCTGGGCGAACAGAACCGTGTTGGGTGCTTTAGGCCTGGGACAGCTCAGTGGTGCTTCTCTGCATTCCAAATAACATCACTTCTCTCTGGATCCCATGGGTTTCCAGGGGAGGCCAGTTCCTGAGGCGTTTGTTTTATTTTTGAGACAGTCTTACTACTTTATCCCACACCATCCTTGACCTTGGCATCTTCCTGCTCAGCTTCCTCAACCGGGATTGCAGATGAGGGCTATCGTTTCTGGTAGGTTTAGAGTTCAGGCTTTTCTTTGAGGGTGGCTTCTCTTTCTCCACTGCTCCATGGTAGGGCGTCTTCTGTTCTCTCTTTCCCATTCTGGAGATGTGCAGAGAAACCTCAGAAAGGCTGACTCTGTTTAAAAGCTAAAATTTGCTATCCTAGATGACTCGCCTAGAGATAGGTGAGGTTATTAGCAGTTAGAACTGCTTCTTCAATTTTCCATGCACTGTAATGATCTTTACTGAGGTAAAGCAGTTTGTTCGGGTATTCCAGATGCTCTCACGGGCACCGTGGATCTTAAGTTGACTTTCTCAGTTGTGAGGAGTTAATAAACTATTCTGAAGTTGATTTCAGAAGTTGTCCTTCTAAGATTTATGTATTTATGTGTATGGGTGTTTTGCCTGCATGTCTTTGTACTGTTTGAATGCCTGGTTCCCAAAGAGGCCAGAATAAGGCATTGGATCCCCCAGGAACTGGAGTTATAGGTGGTAGGAACTGAACCCAGGTCCTCTGGGAGAGCAGCCAGTGCTCTTCACTGCTGAGCCATCTGTGAACCCCATTTTGAAAAATTATATGTGTGTGTGTGCCCCATGTGTGGGTATGTGCATATTACTGTAGGTGTTGGTAGAAACCAAAGGTGTTGGCATACCCTGAGCTGAAGTTACAGGCAGTTTACAGTGCAGTGTGCATGCTGGGAACTGAATGAGGATTCTCTGCAAGAGCGGTCAGTGCTCTTACTTGCTGAGCCATCTCTCTAGCCTTGCTTGTTTTTAATTCAAAGGGAGATCTTTAAAGAATTGCTGTGGAGCAATGCTTCTGAAAGATTTTCTGTTCTATTTTTTTATTTTTTCTTGCTTTGTGACCTCATCTTAGCTATGTCTAGGCTGTCTTCTGGCTCCGGTGCACAAACCTTCCTTAGCTTCCCAGATAATTGGAGCTGCTGGTGCTTGTTCCTCACACCTGCCTCACTCAGAACCCGTGTTCTCCGTGTGTCCCCATCTGTCCAATCCATGTGTTTTCCTCTGTAGCCTGTGTCAGGTTAATCTAGAACATTTTCAGTACAAGCCTGTCTCTTGTTAAACCCAGACTCCCATGCCATATTGTTGATTAGGTAAAGTGATTTGCACTGTAGAATTTTTCTTAGGTAAGGTAGGTGTTGTGGCATAGGCCTGTAATTTCAGACTTTGGAAGTGAGGCATGGAGGGTAGAGGGTTTGAAGTCAGTTTGGTCTACATGGTGTGTGCAACCAAATCAGAATCAACCAAAGGATTCTTTGTTGCGATTTCTTTCTCACAGTGCCTGGGTGACAGGCTCCCATCCTGAGTGACTGGATGAAGGAGCATTTGTAGAGCCTTCTGCTAAGAAGCAGAGGGCTTCACTTTTCAACATACCTCAGTGTTGAAGACAGATTGAAGAATCAAATATGTGGAAATAGTTTCCTTACATTTATAAAGGTGTTTTTCCTAGGTAGCAAATCCTAAGAGGAGAGTGCTGAAAACCAGAACTCACTTATGTTTGAGCTCAATACAGATGACTGAGCAGGGTGAGGAAACGAGACAGATGTGGCTAAGAAGCAGACGTGTGCAGTTTTGTGCCCTTTGACGATTGGCACGTTCACAGCGATTACCCAGACCAGAATCTAAACGTTGAGCAAGCAGGAGAACAACAAGTGAAAGCCACCAAACATTGAGAGACATGATTGTGCTACTTTAGAAAATCCACGTTAATTTTTTTTTTAAATTTATTTATTATGTATATAGTGTTCTTGGCACCAGATCTAATTATAGATGGGTGTGAGCCATCATGTGGTTGCTGGGAATTGAACTCAGGACCTTCAGAACAGCAGTCAGTTCTTTTAACCTCTGAGCCATCTCTCCAGCCCAACCCACGTTAATTTTAATTGGTTTGATGGAAGTAGAGCTCAGTTGCCTGTGAGCTGCCGTGAGTCCGCAGTGTGTCAGGAGAAAGTTTTAGCAATGCCTTGTCACAATTTTCATCTGCAAAGCGTTTTCTTTCTTTCTTTCTTTCTTTCTTTCTTTCTTTCTTCCTTCCTTCCTTCCTTCCTTCCTTCCTTCCTTCCTTCCTTCCTTCCTTTCTTTCTTTCTCTCTCTTTTCTTTTTTTTTTTGATTTTCGAGACAGGGTTTCTCCATAGCTTTTTGGTTCCTGTCCTGGAACTAGCTCTTGTAGACCAGGCTGGCCTCGAACTCACAGAGATCCGCCTGCCTCTGCCTCCCTAGTGCTGGGATTAAAGGCGTGCGCCACCACCGCCCGGTTCTGCAAAGCGTTTTCTATGTTGTGCACCATTGCTGACTGCTGGAGCAGGAAGTGCGCAGAGACCACTTCTAGGGTGTTCCTTCTCAGCCCTCGGGGACTGGACAGCAGCTGCCTGCCTGGTTTATAGGGCATGCCAGTTCATGCCAGTTCATGCCAGTTCATGCCAGCATAATGAATGACATCTTCTCGGAAAGCTTGGATCAGTGTGGAGTTTACCATGGTATTAAGGGCCTTCATTTTACTTTTTAATTAATTTATCGTTTATGTGTTTATACGTGTGGGTGTGTGCGCACGCATGCATGCATGAATTTATGTGCCCACAAGCACGCGGGATCCTGTGGAGCAGAAGTGAGCATTTCATCCCCTGGACCTGGAGCTACAGACAGTTGAGAGCCGCCATGTAGGTGCTGGGAATTGAACCCGATCTTCTGTTAGAACAGCTATCGCTCTTAAGGGCTGATCCATCTCTTCAGCCTTTCTGTTTTTTAAAAATGGTTTCATGTGATGCCCTCTTCTGACCTTGAAGGGCAGTACATGCATGTGGTGTACAGACATACGTTCATGCAGGTAAAACACTTTTAGTTTTTTTTTATATTTATTTATTTATTATGTATACAATATTATGTCTGTGTGTATGTCTGCAGGCCAGAAGAGGGCACCAGACCCCATTACAGATGGTTGTGAGCCACCATGTGGTTGCTGGGAATTGAACTCAGGACCTTTGGAAGAGCAGGCAATGCTCTTAACCACTGAGTCATCTCTCCAGCCCCACTTTTAGTTTTTTGAGACAGGGTTTCTCTAGCTTTGGAGCCTGTCCTGGCACTAGCTCTTGTAGACCAGGCGGAACTCACAGAGATCTGCCAGCCTCTGCCTCCCGAGTGCTGGGATTAAAGGCGTGCGCCACCACCACCCGGCCAGGTAAAACACTTATACATGTAAAATAAAATTAAAAAAAAAAATCTGTCTTACGATGATGTCATGTAGCCCAGGCTGGCCTTTTCTGTTCCTCTTGCCTCTACCTCTGGAGTGCTTGGAATTACAGATATTCCCAGCATGTTTAGCTTTGACACTGTATGTGTGCTCTACACGGACTATAAGGTGTGTGAGTCAGAGTGTACTCTAGCCCGTTTCTCATGTGTTGATGTACCCCGCCTCTCCTGTTTCCCCTTCAATCAAAATGGAGTTGAGGATTGAGACTGGGGAGATGGTTTAGTGGGTGAAGGGCTTGCTGTGCGGGCCTGAGGGCCTGAGTTTGGGACTCAGTGGTGCACATCTAATTTAGCACTGCAGAAAGGGGAGATGGCTGGGACCCAGCTGCTCGCTGGCCAGCCAGTGTAGCTGAAATGTTCAGTGAGCCCTGCCCCCAAAAGCTAGTGGAGAGCGGTAGAGAAAAACACCCTCTGTAGCTTGTTGGTACCATGTGTGAATGTGCCGTACCTGTGTGTGCACAGCAAAGGAAGGTGGGGAAAAGTGACTTTTACCTTTAGTTTCAATAATCCAGATGCCGAAGACTTCAAGTATGAGTCTTAGAAAACGGGTGCCTCGCTGGCACACTGACCTTCTTCCTTCACTTCAACAGATAATCCGCGTCCAGTCCCCGGATGGAGTGAAGCGCATCACAGCCACAAAGAGAGAAACAGCAGCAACGTTTTTGAAGAAGGTACCTGTGGCATCTTTGGGGCTTATTCCCTCCAGTGCTCCTGTCCGTGCCTGTCCTCATTTCCTTTTCACTGCTGCCACCAGGTTGTCACTTGTGTGGCTGTCTCTGTGTGGTTGAACTGGGTACCTGCTGGGTCATTTGGTGGTTGTGTGGTGGGTGGGGGGAAGGTGGGGAGGGAGAGAGGGAGATGGGGCAGGCAGACAGAAAGACCTAAGCCTCACTCTGTAGACTGGCCTTGGACTTGAAGCCATTCTCCTGCCTCAGCTTCTTGAGTGCTGCTGGGAATACAAATATGAGTCACCGTGCTGTACTCTGTCCGGATCATATGTCTGCACGGTTGCTGTCTACCAGACCGTGGGGAGATGGCAAAGGACTTCGCAAGAGTAATTTTTGAGAATGAAAATTCAGAACTGAGCATGGTGCTCTTAATCACTGAGCCATCTCGCCAGCCCCAAGGCCATCTTGTTTACAAGATATGTCTGTGTTCAAGATGGCATTATATGACCATTTGTAACATGTTTTTTTATGTTTTTTTGACATGTTTTAATATAAATTTATTTTTGGCTTTTCGAAACAGGGTTTCTCTGTGTAACTACCCTAGCTGTCCTGGAACTTGCCCTGTAGACCAAGCTGGTCTCAAACTCATAGAGATCTGCCCGCCTCTGCCTCCCAAGAGGACTGAAGGTGTGCGCCACCACTGCCTGTCTTAGCTTCAGCTCTTACATTATTTATACAAGGCCTGTGTTTCCCGTGGACCTCTTACCTAAGTTGGCCCTGGTATGAGCAGTACAGGTTTTCTTAGAGTGAAGCGACAAGAGACCTGTCTGATGAGCTCGTTCTGACTTTACCAAGTGTCCCTCGTGGTCCTGGTGGCCTGTGGCGTATCCTGGCGGCCTGTGGGCGTATCCTGGCGGCCTGTGGGCGTATCCTGGCGGCCTGTGGGCGTATCCTGGCGGCCTGTGGGCGTGTCCTGGTGGCCTGTGGCATGTCTGCGGGGATGCTTCACTCCATTTCTTTGTTTGGGGCTTGTAGGTCGCAAAGGAGTTTGGATTCCAAAACAACGGCTTCTCGGTTTACATCAATAGGAACAAGACTGGAGAGATCACAGCATCGTCCAGCAAATCCCTTCATCTGCTGAAAATCAAGTAAGTGTCCTGCGGTGGGAGATAGGCGATGGGAGGAACTAGATCAAGGCCCCAGCTGAGGCTACCTGGATTTCCTCTTAACCTCTGGCCATTGCTCTAATTATGGCCTGTGAGTTACCACTGTGTTGCTTGGCCAGTGTGCAACAGTTGTACTAGACCAGCAGTTACTGTTGGCGGGTTTGACCCTGGGATTCTGGAATGGTGTTAGGACAAGGTTATCTGAAGTAGGGTCAGCGACTTGTCTGGGGTAGATGACTTAGAGCCCATCTGTTTGGGAAGAGGTCACGCCACGTCAGCCCCTCTTACTGAGAAGACAGGCAAGATAGGGTGGCCCGTTTCTACTTAGGTTGTCGGTGAGGCTTTGGGAAAGGCCTCCTACTCATCTCGTGTTTATGGTGCTGTCTGACCTGAGTGTGCAGTGTGCAGAGGCGCAGATGTTTGGCTCCGCTTCTTCTAAACTGTGCGCCTGCGTCAGTGAGCATGTCCTGGAACTAGCTTTTGTAGACCAGGCTGGTCTTGAACTCACGGAGGTCCGTTCGTTTGTCTGTCTGTCTCTCTGTCCATCCGACCGACCGTTTCCCCCTCCCCCCAGTGCTGGGATTAAAGGTGTGTGCCACTACCGCTTGGTGCTTGGTGAGATAAACTTAAAAATTTGAAATATTTAAAAAGTATGTGAAAGTAAAGGACAGCCAGAGCTGCATAGTGTGACCTGCTCTAGTGTGACCTGCTCTCAGACTTTAAAACTATATAGTGTGACCTGCTCTCAGACTTTAAAAGGGCCTGAGGAGATGGTCAGAAGTTAAGGGCACCGACTGCTCTTTCAAAGGACCTGGGTTCGATTCCCAGCAACCACATGGTGGCTCACACCCTCACACAGACTTATATACAGGCAAAATTCCAATGCATATAAAAGTAAAATAAATAAGTTATTTTAAAAAAAACTTAAGGAAAGAGAATGTGGCTTGAGTCTCTGACACGGTCTAGGAGGCCGAGGAGAGTTGAGCTGTAAGCTGTCCCTCCCTCCCACCCCGTGGGATACTTTCACAACTGCTCTCTGGGTTCCTTGCCCTGAAACCTGATTGGGTAACACACGGTCTCTGGGTGTTGCCCTTGCCTAGGAGTACAGCGTGTCTGTTTTCCCCTTTCATACTGTCTTGTTCTGAGCTGGAGTACCTGTTTCAGACTCCAGACGCATACCCTCGTACCACTCTTGCTTCCAATACCTGTTTTCTCAACACCGCTGTCACCTTGCCGGAAGTGCTGTCAGAAACACCAGGCAAGTGCTGTCCCTCCGAACTGTGCCCCTAGGTCTCTGCTCCCCCTTTTTTAAAAAAAAAAAAAATTATTTATTATTCTGTCTGTGTGTATGCCTGAAGGCCAGAAGAGGGCACCAGACCCCATTACAGATGATTATGAGCCACCATGTGGTTGCTGGGAATTGAACTCAGGACCTCTGAGCCATCTCTCCAGCCCCTCCGCTCCCCATTTTAAAACTTTATTTTGGGACAGTCTTTCTGTGTTGCCCAGGTCAGCTCTGGACTTACCTTGTCTCTCAGTCTCCTGAGTAGCTGATTACAGATCTAGCGGAAGCATTGTTTGATTCCCTGTCACACTGCACTTCAGGGTTCCACACTGCTCCTAGCTCTTTCTTGGAAGGTTTCTGTTGAATTCTCTGAAGTCTGTGTTCGTGTCTTGTAATTCCAACATTTGAGTCCTAGGCCTTCCTTTCTCCCTCATTCTCTTTCTCCCTCCCTCTCTCTCAGCACTTGTTTCTGTCTACTCTTGTTTGAGGGAATTTAGTTCCCTTGAATTTTGGTTTTTTATTGGGGAGGTGTGAGGAAGCATAGCCTCTGACAGGTTCTCTTTGTTCCAAGTTGATTTTAGTGGCATTTGCTGTGTGAACACAAGGGGGTGCTGTGGAGCTGAGACCTTGTGTCTTTCTGGTTTTGGTCTCCAGGCCCCACTCCATCTGCAGGCCTCTGCTTGAGCCCTGGAGGGGACTTCCCTGCCGCGCACCTGGAGGAAGGAAGCGGACTAGCGACTAGCTTCTTCTTGGTTTCCATTTGAGCTCCAGGATTCTTTTAGTTTTTCAGACTTCCCTTAGTCATCTGGGGGTTTTTGTTTTGGATTTGTAATCCAAGCTGGCCTTGTTCTTGAGGTGCAGCTAAAATGACCTTGAGATCATAATGCTCTTGCGCTCACCTTTTCCAGTGCTGGGGTCACAGGTGTGCACTGGCAAGCCTGGCTGACCATTTGGTTTTATGTGGGAGTTTCAGGCTAACAGTCTTGATCAAGTTCTTGATCCTGGCCTTGGCCAAGGGACAGTGGCTGTGTCCTCTTCTGTTTTTACTGACTTGACTGCTGATCCTGGCCTTGGCCAAGGGACGGTAGCTGTGTCCTCTTCTGCTTTTACTGACTTGACTGCTGATCCTGGCCTTGGCCAAGGGACGGTGGCTGTGTCCTCTTCTGCTTTTACTGACTTGACTGCTAGCTTTTGGAGCCCTGGGTCCTTCGTACTTTAGAGCTCAGCAGTGTTTTTACAGCGTATTTGTTAAAATTGATCCAGGGTCTGAGCCAAGTAGTTTATAGCTAGAGAGTATTTAGGAATATCTAATTCACTGCTAGAAGCAGAACTTCTGGTTACAGTTTGGCAGTTTTATTGCCTATGAATTATGGAGGAATAAGAAGGCGAGAGTAGCTCTTGAGGTCTGCAGCCGTGCTGCTAGGGCCGCGAGTCCTGCAGTGTTTGCACTTGCAGACTCTGCTCTTCTTTTGCTTTGCTGGTCAGCACTGGGCCAGCCAGCTGTTCTTGCAGCTTTTTTCTTGTGCATTCTGTTGATGGCAGCTGAAAGTTTGCCACATGTTCTGTCATCTTGTCTTCAAAGGCCGGAGCCAGTTTAGTGCCACAAGCCACCTCTGGTCAGGCATGCCGCTCCAGAGGGGAAACACTCTTCCGCACAAGTCCACAAGTCGTGTCACCTTAGGGCCCAGCAAGGAGACTTGTGGCAGCTCCTTAGTGCCTGGGAATCTGCCCTACAGAGTAAGTGTCGGCATCTGTTGGTGGTATGTTCTTCACAGTGGCAGAACCAGCAGGGATGCCCTTTAGCATACTGAGCACCTCCCTGGGGAGTGGTGAGCCAGGCTGGTAGCACACATCTGTAATTTTAGCACTCAGTAGTAGAGGCAGGAGGATTCTGAGTTTGAGGCCATCCTGGGCTACATAGTGAGATGTGTTTTTTTTCTTTATCTTAGTTAGGACTTCTATTGTGTGATAAAACATCACAACCAGAGCAGTGTGGGGGGGATTATTTGGTTTACATATCCTGGGTCACAGTCCACTGAGGGGCGGGCAAGGCAGGAACGGAAGCAGAAACTATGAAGAAATGCTCATTCCTTTTAAAAAAAATTATTATGCATACAGTGTTCTGTCTGCATGTATGCCTATACGCCAAAAGAGGGCAGCAGACCTCATTACAGATAGATGGTTGTGAGCCACCGTGTGATTTCTGGGAATTGAACTCAGGACCCCGGAAGAGCAGTCAGTCAGTGCTCTTAACCTCTGCGCCCCCACGTACTCTGCTCTTAATGACCTGCGCAGCCTACTTTTGTAAGCACCCAGGACTACCTGGCTAGGGGTGGCTCTACCAATAATGGGCCGGACCCTTCCACATGCAATGCTAATTAAGAAAATGTCCTATAGGTTTGCCCATAGACCAGGCCTGTTTTTGCTGTTGTTGTTTTGGTTTTTGCTTTTTAGAAAAGGGTTTCTTTATGTAGCCCTGTCTGTCCTGAAACTCACTCTGTAGACCAGGCTGGGCTGGAACTCAGATCTGTTGGCCTCTGCCTCCCAAGTGTTAAGATTAAAGGCATGAGTTTCTGCTGCCTGGCCTTAGAGGCCACTCTCACGGAGGCGTTTTCTCAATTATGGTTCCCTAGTTCTCTAGTTTGTGTCTAACTGATCTAAAAAGATAAATAAGAAATAAAAAAAAAAAAAAAAAAAAACCACCAACCAGGACAGTCAGGATTATGCCTGTGGAGTTGACTCTGTAGACCAGGCTGGGCTGGAACTCAGATCTGTTGGCCTCTGCCTCCCAAGTGTTAAGATTAAAGGCATGAGTTTCTGCTGCCTGGCCTTAGAGGCCACTCTCACGGAGGCGTTTTCTCAATTATGGTTCCCTAGTTCTCTAGTTTGTGTCTAACTGATCTAAAAAGATAAATAAGAAATAAAAAAAAAAAAAAAAAAAA